TGATTGAAATATTAACTACTGAACCCGTGTGCCCGGCCTACTTATACCCCCCCAACCCGTGTTCATACCAGGTACCTGTCTCACGAGCACAGATTGATGACAAATTCCTTATCAACTTTTTAAAATTTTCTCCTCCCAAAAATAAATACATATATAGATCATGTGTTAGTGTTGACAGGCCCAGCCATCCACACACACACACCTACACACACACACACACACACACACACACACACACAACTACCGTAATATCTCCACTTTTAATGGGCGCGGTAAAACAAAAAAAGCAAACACACTGCCCGTCTCCATCACAAAAACAAAACAACAATACATTCATGACGCTCGTCCACACAAAAGTAAAACAAGACTTTTACCATCAAAGGAGAGAGAGAGAGGAGATCTCATTCTCCCCCCGAAAAAAGTAAACTTCACAATAGAACCACCAAAAAATGCTTCATCTTAACACTCAACCAAAAGTAAATTAGGATCAAAACAAACAAACAAAAACACAAGAAAAAATATGAATCTGTCTTCAAACACAAACACACAAACATGAAGACAAAACATCCATCTGCCTACACACAAACAATGCAACACATACACAACACACAACACCCACACAATGCAACACATACACAACACACAACACCCACACAATGTAACAACACACTCACACACATCCATACAATACAACACAGTACAAACCCCCTCCTCCCCCACACATACAGATATTGCATGTTTGGAAGTTGAAAAAGACAAAAAAAGAAAAAAAAAAACGATGCAAATAAAAAAAGGACTCCCCCCCCCTCCCTTCCACCCTTCAAAGCCTCCAGGGAAGTGCGAAAAAAATGAAAAAAAGAAATAAATAAAAAATAAATTGGGAGGAGGCAGTGTGTATTTCCATATTCACGCGGACAGAACAAAGCCCAAATTGAATGACAGCACACCCCCAACACATCTTGCCGGGTTCACGCCATGGTTACGAGAAGAAAAACTCATGTCCTCTTCCTATTCACGTATTTATTTATTATTTATTTATTTTTTTCTTTCTCTCTCTGTCTTTCTATTCATTTGTTCCTCTTTTATATGTCTCATTTTCGTCTTTCCATTTCGTTTTTTTTTATTCTCTCTCTCTCTCTCTCTCTCTCTCTCTCTCTCTCTCTTCACTTTCCATTGTTTCCTTCTCCGTTTCTTTTTATTTCTCTCACTGTTTCACCCATTCACTTTTTAATCATATATCTCAGTTTATCTTTTCTGTGTGTGTGTGTGTGTGTGTGTGTGTGTGTGTGTGTGTGTGTGTGTGTGTGTAGACCGACCGGATAAGGCTTTCGGGCTTACCAGTGAAGACCAACAAGGCTTTCTGCATGACGGGACGAACTGGACTTTGGAGGTCACCTAAATGAATAAAGGATCGGGCTTTTGTCCTAACACGACTTCAATTTACCGGGAGAGTAGGAGACCAGGTACTATCTCCAGGTACACCCAGGTACTATCTCCAGGTACACCACATTATTGTCTCCAGGTACACTCCCTCACCGTCTCCAGGTACATCGCATCATAGTCTCCAGGTACACCGCATCATAGTCTCAAAGGGTACACTCCCTCGCCGTCTCCAGGTACACCGCATCATAGTCTCAAAGGGTACACTCCCTGGTCGTCTCAAAAGGTACGTCCTATCATCGTCTTCAGGTACACCCAGGTATCCTCAGTAGGTACACCGCAGGTAAACAAACTCCAGGAGGTAGAGAGAGAGAGGGGGGTGAGCGTTCTCTGGTCTCCCCACTCGCCTGGCTGCCTCGACTGATGAGGTTACTTAGTCCAGATACTGTATGCATGATGTCCCTGAGGCGACGACTTTTGTTTATAACCGCGTAGCAGGAACCCTCACTACCTACCCGACAGTACCTGAGCCACAAACCTGGTACTGTCCAAATTCTCTCTCTACCTACCTGACAGTACCTGAGCCACACACCTGGTACTGTCCAAGTTCTCTCTCTACCTACCTGACAGTACCTGAGCCACACAACTGGTACTGTCCAAGTTCTCTCTCTACCTACCTTACAGTACCTGAACAGCACACCTGGCACTGTCCAACTCCCTCTCTACTTACCTGACAGTACCTGAACAGCACACCTGGCACTGTCTCTACCTAGCACTGACCAAATGGGTCGGTTACCGGTAATGTCTAAACTAATATAACTTCCTTTACTTCAACCAAACCAACGCTAAGGAAGACCTACTCTAAGTCAGCTTAATCTCACCTAACGCAAATACATCATAATCTAACCTCACTTATCCTCGCCTGTCCAAAGCTATGAGGTGCGACGGCCGAATGGGTACAGAACTCGCTTCCTGTCATTAGATTAGTTAATTGGAGCCCGGGGCACTCCAAGTCGACCCAGGCGTAAATGGGTACATGAGTAAATGGGCCACACTGCCTCCTATGTGTTGAAGGTTTAGTATTCAGTGTGGAACCTATTTTCACAACCTAAATCTTACGTAACTTCAAGGTAATTTAACCCAATCTTTCAAAGTCATTCGAAGGTGTATTTTTCACCTGGTTAAATTTCAGTGCCGACGAATATCTCTTTTTCACCATCAGCGCGAGGCCGAGGTATTATTGATGACCTCACCGCAATCTTTGCTACCTGGCCATTATTACCTGCTGGGGAAATTTATGTGAAGATCCCTCAAATTTTGCTACTCATTTTTACCTACGAATCAGCTCTGTGAATAACAATCCTAAGTTGCATAATGACTGACTGACTGAGAGAACTTTCTGACCTGATGACAATGACGCTTCGTGTGATCAAATCCTGGTCACTCGTTCTCAACCAACAACCAATAGATAAAAAAAAAACAGTGCTGGCCACGTTAGTCAGCTCTATAAACTCTTCTAACAAAACAATATTGTTCCCCGGTGCCTCATGTCCTCTTGTGCCACGAGCTCCTAACTGCACCTCCAGCCAGGGCCCACCACACGCCCTCCCCCCACTCGCCTCACCAACACAATTGACGACGAATGTTTGACAATCCCTGATTTGGCTGCGTTAAATCACGCCGCCTCCCGCCTTACCTAACCAGACTGTTGAACATTTTTCCACGTGAGGGAACGTCTTCAAAAACGTCTGATTATTATACACACTGCCGGGAGAACGACCACCTCCCCACTAACGCTGTTATATCTGTTTCTTCGTCACTCATGTTGTCCAATTTTTACTTAACAGTCATAATACTACCGATCACTGTGAAGATAAATCTGCACTGTGCATGTACGTATGTATGTACAGTATAGTGTGTGTGTGTGTGTGTGTGTACTCCTTAAGCTCACAACACAGTCACGGGGTGCATGATGGTCGACCGACTTAACTCGCGGAGCAGAATAAAAAAAAAAAAAGGTGTTCCCACGAGTCCAGGCAGTGACGTCATCCTCCACACACCAAATATAGTAACACAATTTAGCCGTTGTGTGATAATGACGACACAATGGAGAGCGAGTCCTCCCAGGGCGTAAGTTAATTAGGGCTGTTATATTAGAGGTTCGTAGGTGTCATAACATGCTAGCTGATCCTCTCTCTCTCTCTCTGTGTGTAAAGAAGACGCTCAAAGTATGCCTAAGGGAAAACAAAATCACAAAGGTCCTGGTGGGGGGAGGGGCGAGAGAGAGAGAGAGAGGGAGACAAGAGAGGAAGAGAGGAGACAAATTATGAACAGAGAGAGAGAGAGAGGGGGGGGGCGAGGTCGGTGAGAGGGAAAGAGTTCGGATGAGAGGGAAGAAAGGTCGGAGGAGAGGGAAGAGAGGGTCAAGGAGAAGAAAGAGACAAAGTGAGGAATGATATGAAAGAATGGAAAAACATGAATACTATGGGGAGAGGGAAGAGGGACTGAAGTGAAGAAGAGAGGGGACTGGGGGTGATAGGAAGAGAGGGGATTGGGTGGAGAAGGGTGGATTGGGTGGATAGAAGAGAGGAATCTGGAGGATGAAGAGAGGGGACTGGGTACAGAAGAGAGGGACTGGGGTACAGAAGAGAGGGATTGGGGTAATAGGGAAGAGAGGGGACTGGGTGATAGAAGAGGAAGGACTGGTACAGAAGAGAGACCTGCATGGAAGAGAGGGGACTGGGGTAATAGAAGAGAGGGGACTGGGGTGATAGACGAATGGAGGGAGAATGCCGTGGGGAGAAGACTGGGAGAGGGGAGAGTTCTGGGTGAGAAATATAAGTCGAAAGAGAATTCCGGGATGGAAGGGGAAAGGGAAACAGGGAGAGGTAAAAAGAGGGAAAGAGGTCGGATGAGAGTGGTGAGGTGACTGGATGAGGGACGGAGGGAAGGAAGAAGAGCAAGAGGGGAAGAGAGAGATAGAGAGAGAGATAAAGGAAGCGAGAAGAAAGAGGTAAGAGAATAGGAAGGGTGAGAATACACAGAGCTGAAGAATAATGTTCCAGTCTTCCAAGGTCAGGGAGAGGGAAGGGAGAGGAGAGGGAGGGTAAAGCAAGGGGTGAGAAGGGAAGATGGGAGAAAGAAAGTATGAGAGGGGAAGTAGGCAGAAAAGGGAAGGGGGAAGAGGGAAGAGGAAATGGTTAGTTAAAGGGAGTAAATAAGAAAGATAAATGGGAGGGAAGAAATGAGGGAGATAGGAAAAGGGAGAGTAAAATGGGAGGGAAGAAATGAGGGAGAGTAAAGAAGGGGGTAAGAAAGGGCACAAATACGGGAAGGTATAGGCTGACCACAATAAGGTCGGCCCTGTAGGGAATCGCGTGTCCCCTGAGAGACTACAGGCTACCTACCCTAGACTATGAGGCAGAGGCAGGAGTCTTACCCAACACCCTCCTGGTTGAGAAATTATAAAGAGAGACAGAGGAAGATTCTGGTTGAGAGAGAGAGAGAGAGAGAGAGAGAGAGAGAGAGAGGGGGGGGGGTGTGGAAGACAATCTGAGATAGACTCAAAGAGAAAGAGATAATTAACAATACAAAAACAAGAGAGATAAAGAGATACTCACCGAGCCTTTTTTGCCGGGGAAGGAGAAGAAGACGTCAGGGCCAGAACGGTTGGGCATCTGTCGCAACACGCCCAAGAGCTTGGCTGAGTGACGCGGCTGTGGACAAAGGTACACAAACTCTCATTAGTACAACACAATAATATTAGAACCTCGTAAACTAATAATAATGACACAAATATTAAAATAATAAAATAAAATAAAACAATAATTAAAAATTCTAAAATAGGTGTTAAAAAATACAGCAGTAATAACAATAATACAATAATAATGACCTAAAATAAATAATACAATGACGAACAATACAATAATCATAAATAACACTAATTACAAATCTAAAAATAATATAATGATAAATACAACAACAAAAACATTGACATGAAAACCAATACAAACACATTAAGGTAAATAATAATTAGGACTACCAACCTGGAAACAAAACTTATCTTTGTGACCCGGATATGACTCACCACTGAACTATACTTAGATACTATAACCTAACACAACACCACATCTATACTACTACTACTATTACTACTACTACTACTACTACTAAAAATTATATAGATCTAATATCCCTAAGGTAAATATAATTAACTAAGGGGAATTTTTTTTAATAGAAACTTCTTAAATAAAGATATATAACGGTTGTATATATGTCATCTATAATTTAAATACAGTATTATATTTAGTCGCTTCAATACACCACAATAATTATATACAATTAACGATTATACAAAAAATAATCCACGCAAATCCTCCTTCATACGATACAATGACCTGAAATAATGATCGTACAAATCAATACATTATACACCACAGTTATGATTCAAATAAACATACAACATTATACATCATACATACATTATACATCATACTCGATTCAAAATAATCATTATAAAACAAATCAATATGCAATTCATCATTCATACACCAATTACAGTCCAAAACAATGCTCATACAACACTAATAAACCAGTCATACATCATAATACACCAGTCATACATCATACACCGCAATCATGATCTAACATACTAGTAATAATCATACAACTCAACCATACACACAAACCTCCCAAACACAACCCGGAATTATACGGTTAAACATACAACACAAACCTCTCCATCAGAACCCGGAATCATACACAATAATTATACATGGTTCGAAAGCACACATTTATACACACTACCATAACGCATACTATACATGGGACTAACGCATACATGAATACTATGAATGAGAAGAATACATTTTAGACCCCCCTAGTTTATTCATCACCAAGTAATGAATATTTAAATAGGGGGTAATAGCTTTTTTTTTTCTATTTCTATTTCAGTGGAATTTCCTGGGTGACTGACGAGAGAGAGAGAGAGAGAGAGAGAGAGAGAGAGAGAGAGAGAGAGAGAGAGAGAGACCACACACATTAAACTCGCAACAATAACCACAACACCTCAGTCTCCCCCCCCCTGTGACATCCAACAACGCTACACGACCCTTGACCCCAAATTTGTCTTAAATAACCAAACTCAAACAAATAATCCTCGTCAACCTCAAATACACATTATTACTTATTATTTTTAGTGAAAACAAAACATGTAATACTTATAAAGAATTATGGTACCGAATGATTTTAGAAGACTCGCCCCTCTAAATTCCGTTCTCTGTGGTGGTAAGTGTCTGGCAGTGCGTGAGAGAATGGGATGTGGTGAGGGAAGTTGAGGAAGAAGAGACACGAAGAAGAAAAAAAAAGAGAAGAGGGTGGGAGGGAGGGGGTGAAGAATCTGGAGTTGGAAGAGGAGTGAAGAAAGAAAAGGAGGACTGAAAAGGAAGAGGAGGAAAGTGATGAGAAAGAAGAGGAGGAGGAGGGGCGGGGGAAAAGGGGTGAGCAGTAGTGTGAAGGAAGATAATAAAATAAATGTATACGGGTATAGGAAAAGTGAAGGAAAGAATAAAGTGAAGAAGGTGGAGGTAGAAGAGAATGAGCAGGAGGAAGAAGAAATGGGGACTTGAATTACTAAAAACGAAGAAAGTGGAGAAACTACACAAAAAAACGATAAAAGAAAATAAAGACGAAAGATAACAGAACACAAAGAATAGGAAGAGGATGGTGATGGTGGTCATGGGTGATGGTGGTCATGGGTGATGGTGGTCATGGGGGCTGGGGTGATGGTGGTCATGGGTGATGGTGGTCATGGGTGATGGTGGTCATGGGGGGTCATGGGTGATGTGGTGGTCATGGGTGATGGTCGTCATGGGTGATGGTGGTCATGGGTGATGGTCGTCATGGGTGATGGTGGTCATGGGTGATGGTGGTCATGGGTGACAAAGATCGAATTCAAATAAACTTACGTAACTTATCCCCCTAACGTGTGGTAAGAGTACGTATCTTAGTCAAAGTAGAGTCTCAACTATTAGTCAAGGTAGAGTCTCAGCTATTAGTCACGGTAGAGTCTCAACTATTAGTCAAGGTAGAGTCTCAGCTATTAGTCACGGTAGAGTCTCAACTACAATTTAGCACCATTTTGATTATTAACTTAAGTTGCTTTGAGAATCTACTCCTGGTTAAGAGTCAATGCCCCGGCCTAACTTGTCAACATGTCTTCCTATTAAATTTTAGCCTTACATACAAGTGAGTCAGTAAGGCCGATGGATGTTCCCAGAGCCAAAGAGTTACCGCCATAATTGACATGTCTTGACCCCTGACCCCAAAGTGTGACCTTGACCTTCATCATGGGAAACTGAAAGCTGTTCGTGTCACATCATCGTCTTGTTGACAATAACTTTCCTGTAAGTGATCTTGAAAATCTCTCAAATGGTTCAAAAGTTAAAGAGTGGACACGATAAAGAACGAACGATAAAAAGACCGGACAAAAGAAAGAATCCTGGGAAAATCGGATAAAAAATAAATAAACGAAGGAAAGTCCGGACGATCGGGAAAAAGAAGTGATTAAAATGCTCCTTCCTCCGGTGACCATAAAAAATGAAGTAGTCAATGATACGGAAGATTATCTCGTTCAGAAAATGTGAGTGAGATAGTGAATCACGCTACCACGCTTCTGGTGACCTCCTGTGTAACTGCTGCAGCACCACCACTCCAACACCCACAGCAGCGACACCACCACTCCAACACCCACAGCAGCGACACCACTGCTCCAACACCCACAGCAGACACCACCACCACCGCTCCAACACCCACAGCAGCGACACCACCACCACTGCAACACCCACAGCCACACGCAACACCACAGCACGACACCACCACCACTGCTCCAACACCCACAGCAGCGACACCACCACCACCGCTCCAACACCCACAGTAAGTGATAATAAAATATAAAAGTAAAAAAAAAAAATAAAGGCACTCTCCACCACCTCACCACAACACATCACGAGAAGTTTCCAAATCACAGTTGTCAAGTAATTTACCATACTAGTAAAGAGTTTGGATGACGTGTACGGCTTAAGGGAGTAGCAAGGAGTGGCGAGTGGTTCAGTTCACACGGTCTGGAAAAAAATAAAAACATCCTTCAAGACCGAAAGACATTGCCAATCAGGTCAGGAGAGGCGGGCGCTGTTCAAACTATTTGCAACTAAAAAATGAAGAGTGAATGGAAAATTTACCACTCACTGTTGCGACAACTTAAAAAATACACCAGTCGGAATAATAACATATATTTTTTCTCTTAATTATTTTTAACAATTCAATTATTTTAAATGAGCTATGACGTCACATTCATCCAACTAAACGAGTGGTAATTTTTGTTTTGTCTACAAACGTTGTGTGATCACTGTGGTGTGGGAGAGTAAGACTTGTTGACAGGTGGCGGCAGCTGAGGCACCTTAACACAGTGCCTACCTGCACCCACACAATTGAAGTCATCATAAAAAGCATCAATAGTCATTTATAATACAGTGTTACCCATTTAAACATGAACACCAGTCATATAAAATTACTAGATGGTAAAACCCTCATTGTGATGAGTTGTTTACACGGGCCAACAATTAAACGTGTATTGTATGTATTGTGGTCAACTTAAAGACGATAACACAGGCGGTAAAGCCAGATGGTTCGGCCCAACGGGAAGCCCTTCAAATCTGAATAAATAAAAGACATTGTGAAAGAAATTGTACTGTATAAATAGTCACGGCCAATTAGAATTCAGTAACTTCATTAAATCAGGAGAGGTCCGTCCTATCCCTGAACCCCGTGCGTGCTCTCCTGCCACCCATTCCTCTCTACATCTGATCAAAATAAAACAAACTACCCTTCACTCAAGCCAGCTGCCACTCATGAAGGATGGATGGGGGCTTCTTCAATAAGGTGACCTTGACCTTTGACCCCTTAAATACGAGTATATCGGCTCTGAGGGAAAGTTTCCGTTCTCCACACCCAAACATAAACCAACATAAACTAATCCATTAACATAAACCCATCCACTACCTCTGTTCCCGACACACACACACAAACACTGCACCATTTGCATGTCGACTCACCCAACAACTTTCTCAGTCTCACAGAATGCAGTAATTTCCGGACCCTACAAGTGGGTAGCGTCGAGGAGAGGGGAAGGGAGGGCAGGGGTGAGGAGGGAGGGTTAGCAGCACTCAACTCTAGGGCGTCGAGTTGCCACATTACAGTACGGCGCGGCGACGGTGGGAAACTGTTGAAGTCTCCCAGCTGAACGGTGGCGGTAATATACTCCCCCACCTCTCCTCCTTACACCAAGCTCGCTCTCTCTCTCTCTCTCTCACACCATTTCCCTTTATCTCCCCAATCCGATCCTTACCCTCCGCTTCTCCCCCCCAGCAGCAGTAACACGGTAAGGGGAAGCCTGCTGGGAGAATCAACTCACTTTACATAAAAAAGTATGGGGGAGCGATCACCTCCTCTATCCCCACGCACACTGAGGACTTAACCTCGTATACAGTACACAAATATATTCTGTTCTCCCGGCTATACTACGTGAGGTATTAGGTTCCTTGTCTGCCGTGTATTATTGGAAGGAAAGTTTTTCTTTTCGTGGAGGAAAACTTTAGTGTGTGTGTGTCTCATGGAGGAAAACTTTAGTGTGTGTGTGTCTCATGGAGGAAAATTCATC